CCAAGGATAATTGTTTCAACACAATTTATGTAACCCTCCTCATTTTACCTTTAAAAACATTTGTCTTGGCCGGGCGCGGTGGCTCAAGCCTGTAATACCAGCACTTTGGGAGGCCGAGGCGGGTGGATCATGAGGTCAAGAGATCGAGACCATCCTGGTCAACATGGTGAAACCCCGTCTCTACTAAAAATACAAAAAATCAGCTGGGCATGGTGGCGCGTGCCTGTAATCCCAGCTACTCAGGAGGCTGAGGCAGGAGAATTGCCTGAACCCAGGAGGCGGAGGTTGCGGTGAGCCGAGATCGCGCCATTGCACTCCAGCCTGGGTAACAAGAGTGAAACTCCGTCTCAAAAAAAAAAAAAAAAACACTTGTCTTCCCGTGCCTCCCTCAATATGCCCATAGTTTGCTATGGCACACTTATTCAGCACTGTGATGCCCATTCCTAAATAAACTCATTGTCTTTGGAGAATCTTCCTCTGTTATTCAGGCTCACACTCATATAAAATTAAAGTATGTTAAATAGCACAAGCCACCCATTAAATGAGAAAAGTGAGAATGCATCAGACAAATTAGGATCATCATTAATATTACATTCAAAACACTTTGTAAGACATCCTTCAATATAGTGATCTAAAATAAGATACTAACATTGAGATACTGTGGGCTCAATGGCATGTAAAAATAATACATTTTTATTTTAAAGGTGATTTTCATATTATACATTATGTGAAAGGGGTTCATAGGCCAAGTACTTTTAGGAAACAGCATCTTTTTCTTTTTTCTTTTTTTTTTTTGAGATGGAGTCTCGCTCTGTCTCCAGGCTGGGGTGCAATGGCGTGATCTCGGCTCACTGCAACCTCCACCTCCCAGGTTCAAGTGATTCTCCTGCCTCAGCTTCCCGAGTAGCTGGGATTACAGGTGCCTGCCACTGTGCCCAGCTAACTTTTGCATTTTTAGTAGAGATGGGGTTTCACCATGTTGGCCAGGCTGGTCTCACATTCCTGACCTCATTCCTGATCACATTCATGATCCATCTGCCTCAGCCTCCTAACAGCTGCTTTTCTGTAACTCAGTTATTGGACTCGCACAGTAACTTGTTAAACAGAGACTTTGGGTTCCCACCCAAACCCAAAAAACAGAGCATCCAAGAGAAATACCAGGCCCCCCTCTGTTTTTAATAAGCACCCCAGATGATTCTGATGATGAACCTGATCTGGGAAACACCCATCTTGTTAGAAAGCAGGTCCCCAGGGCAGAAAGAAGCCAGATATCATGCTTGCTGGCAGGGGAAGGAACCGGCTGGGTAGAAGGAGCCCAGGTCTGAGTGTAGTCCTGCCCTGGAAGATCCTAGAAAGCTGGGGTAAAGGCAGGAAGAGCCAAAAGGGATGAACGGCGGATTTGGCAAGGCTTAAAAATGGAATGTGGTAGACCCAAATACTTATCTCTGATGTGCCTCCTGTTATGTAACCTTGGGAAAGTTACTGACCTCAGGTTCCTTGTCTTTATAATGGGGATTTTTAAAAAAATCAATGTTATCAGATTGCCGTAAGGATTAAATAAAATCATCTAGGCAAAGCATTTAAACCCAAAGCAGCTGAACATAAACTGAGAACCCAAAGAGGCTGAGAATGGTTCTGAAGAGTGATTTTGGCTGTCTTTGACCTGTCTTAGTGAAATTATTTCATTTTGTGAAACTTTCCTATTTTTTTTAGGGATGAACAATTTCTTCATAAATACCATCAGCCTGGGATCCCATGTCATTTTACTCAGCTGGTCCTTCAGTAATTAAACATTCTCGCCAAGCCTGGAAATTATTATTCTTTGAGGTGGTTAAGTTAGAGCATTTAGTGAATAAGGCTAGACAATGCTGTGTTTTTAACATGGTTTCTGCAAGATTTTCTGGGTGAAGATGAGTGCTCTAGAGAAAGGTGGTTTTATGCTCACTTCAACCTCTATGAAGTGAGCAAAGCAGCTAGGCTCAGGGTTGGGAGCTGCACATGCTGAGACCTCTGATTTAATTCTCACTGAAAGCAATCTTTTATTAACATCTTTCCACAATGAGAATATAATTGTTAGGCTTACAAATTGGAGATACAATTCTAAAGACCATAGAGTAACTCACTGGAAGCATACTAGCTGGTAATGAGATTAGAGACTGAACTCTCAGACATCACAGGGAAAAAAATACATATTCAAATGCCCTCCTGTATCTTTCAGGAAGCCAGGGATGGACTCCCAGTGCAAATAGATGTTATGCAAATACAGTGTGCATATATTAGAGAAGTGATGAAAAATAGAAAGTAATCTTGAAACCTGCTTTTCCTTAAAGAGATGTGGCTGTTTCTGAATTGCTCCTCTGCAAGGCTGCCTCTGCCTCCTCTCCGTGTGGCTGGCTTTGCAGAGGCTGAAGGGGAAGGCCTGGGAAGACACGTCGAAATGAACCCTGCCTGGTTGCTGGGAACCAGGGTGCTCAAGATGCAAACTGAACTGCAGCAATAAAGTCAAAAGAAGGGGAAAGAATGAAATGGCGATTTTCATCTTTATCCCTTGTGGTTAGACATGGTTCCTCTCAATCTATTGTTAGACTTGACTGTATTTCCCTAAGTCTACTTGCCTTTCAGACACAATGCTCATCGCTGCTTAAAATGATTAGCATATTCCAGCAGCAATTCCTACAGCAGAATTATGCCACATGGTGATAATTCTTTGTATCTTGGGAGTTTGGGACATTCCTGTTCATAAAGTTACATATCCATAGTTTCTTCCTTGATGATTTTTTCTCTCGGTCTATAGTCTGACTAAAATCCAGTGCAGAAAAGGTGTAAGTGAATTTTATAAGAAGAACATGAATCATCTGCTACAACAAATCCAATGTGCCATTTAAAATTTACTAGAAAGGTCTAAAGCTAGTGCCTTTCAAATCGTGAACTCACCTGGGTTTGGTGGTGCAAGTCTGTAGTCCCAGTTACTCAGGAGGCTGAGGAGGGAGGATTGTTTGAGGCCACAGTGCACTTTCAACATGTCTGGAAATAACCATCGCACTCCAGTCTGGGCAACACAGGGACCCCTTATCTCTACAAAAATGTTTTTTAATATTATGAACTCAATCTGTAAGTGAGCTCATTAGCATAGAGAAAGTTTCCCTTTAAATGGGTGAGGCGGGGAGCAGTGGCTCACGCCTGTAATCCCAGCACTTTGGGAGGCTGAGGCAGACAGATCACTGGAGTTTGGGAGTTTGAGAGCAGCCTGGCCAACACAGTGAAACCCCGACTCTACTAAAAATACAAAAACTAGCTGGGTGTGATGGCAGATGCCTGTAATCCCAGCTACTTGGGAGGCTGAGGCAGGATAATTGTTTGAACCTGAGAGGTGGAGGCGGCAGTGAGCCGATATCATGCCACTGCATTCCAGCCTGGGTGTCAGGGCAAGAGTGAAAAAAAAAAGTGAGAAAATAGGGAAAATAACAAATGGTCTGATGTCTAGGTGTGACCCCAAACCTTATTTTCCAGGTAGCATTCTCTAGAAGGGATAGAGACCATGGTCACTTACTGTTAGGCGACACTGTGTAGACCCCAGTAACTGTATATATAGGTCACTTTTGCACCAACCTATACAAATTTCTTCTACTTGGAAATAAAACCTTGGTGGAATTAAAAATTGATATGGGAACTTATCAGTGGTACCAGATGATCAGTTTCTAGAATATCATGTTTCCTTTCCTGCAGTCCCTAAAAGACTGATGATTAATGATCTCTTAGACTAATAAATCTAAATTTGAAAAAGATAATAGAAACCCTGACCAGTTACTTCCCAAAGCACAGAGTACTTGTTTATCTTTTTTTTTTTTTTTTTTTTTTGAGACAGAGTCTTGCTCTGTCACCCAGGCTGGAGTGTGTTGACATGATCTTGGCTCACTGCAACCTCTGCCTCTCAGATTCAAGCAATTCTCCTGCCTCAGCCTCCCGAGTAGCTGGGATTCTAAGTGCCCACCATCACCCCCAGCTAATTTTTGTATTTTTAGTAGAGAAGGGGGTTTCACCATGTTGGCCAGGCTGGTCTTGAACTCCTGACCTCAGGCGATCTGCTTTCTTTAGCTTCTCAAAGTGCTGGGATTACAGGCATGAGTCACCACACCTGGCCTGTTTATCTTGATTTAAGAAACAAGAGTACAGAAGAATTCTCTGCTCGTATTGATGCTGCTCTTACTCTATTTGCTACCTGATAATAAAAATATGTTGAAGGAATGAGTGGTGAAAGGCTGGAAAAATGTGGGCAAAGAGGAACTTTTACAGGGAAAGAATATATTTTTGTTACACTTACAGAATATATTTTTATTACAGTTGGATAAATATATTTTTTAAAAATTAAAAATTGGGTAGTCATAGTTTTTGCATCTGGATTTATAATTAGCAAACTGGAAAAAAAAAAAAAAAAGGACAACTGCCAGATCACCGGTAAAGTTACCGATGCATTTAGGAGTTTCATTTCCTTAGGAAGTGTGCTTGTTCATAACATGTTGTCGTAGAAACTTTTTTTTTTTTCTCAGCAAGAGTCTTGCTCTGTCACCCAGGCTGGAGTGCAGTGGCACGATCTCAGCTCACTACAACCTCTGCCACCCGGGTTCAAGCCATTTTCCTGCCTCAGCCTCCTGAGTAGCTGGGATTACAGGTATGTGCCACAACACCCGGCTAATTTTTGTTATTTTAGTTGAGATGGGGTTTCACCATGTTGGCCAGGCTGGTCTTGAACTCCTGACCTCGTGATTCACCTGCCTTGGCCTCCCAAAGTGCTGGGATTACAGGCGTGAGCCATAATCCCAGCCAGAAACTTTGTTAAAGTGTTGTTTTCTGGTCATTTTGTTGTTTCACTGAACGGCCTGGGAGAATACCCACCAAGTACTGGATTAAGAAGAGAGGATACCAAAGTCCCCCACACCTTTGCCTCCCTCCTTCCCACGCTCCCCAACTAAGAGAAACATGTGTTCATCATTCCTCAGACAGAAGATTTCCTGGAAATGTTTTTGTTTGAAAACAAATGTTTTTGTTTGAAAACCTCACTGCTCAGAGCTAAGAACAGAGGACGAGTCCCGCTATTAAGGAATAAACCTTGTGAAGCAGGCGGTGGTGGAAGCCACCGTCTGCTTCCTGTATAGTGGAGAATCTGATTTGGGGTAATTTGGGATATGGGCAAATATGTTTACCCACCTTACTAAGATGTGTTTAACTTGATATTTATGTGAAACAGTTAAACGTTTGAGAACGGCCTGAATAATGCGTGGTGCCCTGTCGTTTCCCTGTAGGTCTGTGATTTGAAGGACGGTATTCCCAGATTCGGTGTCGTTTTCCCCTGGCCAGTCTCCCTTCCTCTTTTCTTATACCTCATGAGGGAAAATGAACAGCCACAGCCATAGAGAAGTGAAATCCATCGGCTATGCCCAGTTTCTGCCCAATATCCTTAGTTGTTAATGTCATTCATTTTTTTGGAAGCCACTTCAAACCCTTTTTGGAATAAAAATAGTTATTATACATAATTGAGCAGTATGTGTGCAGTTGCATTCTAGGAGGAATTACATTTCTTCTAATGTTGGACTCAAAAATCATTGCAATTGGCCAGGCGCGGTGGCTCACGCCTATAATC